AAGGCCCTGCTGTTTCTGAAGCACTAACAGAATCTGAACGCTGAAGGCCTCTGTTGGCCTCAGGAGCATTGAGGAATGCCTCCCATCCTTTTAGCCTTTCCTCCCTTTCTCTTGCATTTTCCTCCACCTGTGGATAAGTAGAATCTGCCATCAAAATGAGTTTTAGACAAAAATAAGCAAAAACCTCAGTATGTCTAATGTTAAAGAAAGTACCCTGAGTTCATAAGGAAACTTTTCCTAGGAAAAACAAGTATTTGTCTATTCTCAGTCTGCAAAACTTTACATCTTGATTTGCTGACCTTAAATAATTATCATGTAATTAAATGAAAATGTTACAATACTGCAAGAATGCCTCATTTCTTGTCACATTAATATTTGAGCTATGTACAACACAGAAGAGAAACATTTTGTTTTACTGTGTCCTTTTCTTATCACAATTCTGAGCAAATCTCAGAATTTCATACTACATAAAAGACTAAAACATTTTTATTCTCTGAATTTCAAAGAAGTATAGTTACAGATTAAACCAAACTCAAAACTTCATTCTGAAGAACTGCTAGATCAGTGTTACTGGTAATGAAATAATACATGAGCCCTCGACAATGGCAGAATTTACCTGATAATCTGTAGTCCCATCCCATGCTTGGGCAGTGATCTGACGGCCACCGAACCACCTTCCATCAAGGGTCTGAATGCAATAGTCAGCTTCTTCTGGATCCCTAAAGGACACAGAGGCCACACCATCGGGATGCCTCTAGAAAGACAATCACAAACAGTACGATTAAAAGTAAAATACACATTTGATAAAGTACGTAGTGTTCTCTTGGACACACTGAAGTAAAAGACTTCATGAAGTCTCTGGTCCCAGCCAGTAACATACAATTTGCTGACTCTTTAGTTTCACCTGATCTAGCAAGAAAAAAGCACACTGCCTCTGGACACATTTCCAGTGATAACAATATTTAATGAAAGGTAAGAGAATACAGTTGTTAAAAGCAAGTGAAACTCTGAGTTAGATTCACCCTGGCCTTGAATCCTGAAGTGGAAAGAGAAGGTTCTTACCTACCAAGAAGGGTTGTGAGGATTAATGAAGAAACATTTTAAGTAGCTTGTACTACACCAACAATATATGGTAACTTAATTATCAGGCATCGATTTCAGAAGTAAAAGAGGGATAAGAAGGGAAAATATGCAAGAGATTATTTTTGCTAACTGTTCCAAATATGAAGGACAATAATTCACATAGAGGAAAAGGCAAATATGGAACCATAAAGTCTCATAAATTTTGATTTTGCTTTCTTTGGCTTGATCACATACTCTAGAGCAGTGATGGTGAATAGCTTCCAATGATAAGAGTAGCCCACTATGGCACGAGTGCCACAGGTTCGCCACCACTGCTCTAGCGTAATGACGGGAAATTAGTAAGGCATACCAAATCTATCAAAGCCTTGATCTGTACACCATGCTCGTCTAATCATTGCTGAAAGACTAGTACCATCAAATAGAGCTACTATATAAAAACAATAAATCCAAACCTCAGGGTGTACTGATACCCAATAATAACTTGTTCAACTAGAATGATAGTTTTAGGATTCTTTTGTTTATGTCATCAACTTACATCAAACAGGAGGAGCTTCTTAATTTGTCCAAACTTTGAACACTCCACACGAAGGTCTTCTCTGATCTCATTCAGCACCAATGGATCATCCTGCAAAAATAAACAGGATTAAAATGGGACTGCCCTTTTTTTAATTCCAAAGAATCAAACTTTCTCTGGCAAATCAGCAAATTTAAAAAAAGGAAATTTTCACTTAAGGTTGGTTATGTTTGTCTGTAGTCTACAAAACTAAATGAAAAAAATCAAAATCAAATGAAGTTAAGATGATTGCCATGGTTACTAGGATGTCTGCTCTACTCTTCAGACTGAGGAAGTGGATAAACAGCAGAAGGGTCTACAATGGCAAAGAAAAAAGAAGTAAAGTGGGACTCGAAAGCCCCAAGAAATGGCAGCTTTGGGTAGAAGTCCCGTGGGCACATATCCATCATGCTCTGCTAATTCCTGTTCTGTGTGGGCGTCATAATCATACCTTCCTGAGATTTGGAAAAATTTCATTTATAGAAATGGTGTAATACAGAGAGGTATGTCCTTTTCTTTGACTAAGTGTGCTAAGATTGTTTTACATACTTCCAAGATTGTACTTCAATTCCCAAGGTAAACCTTGTAAGGATTGTTTGTCTTATCACCTGCCATACTGAAACAGAACTACATACCACACAAAATATTAAGCATACAGGAAAACACATTCTTGAAGTTGTTTTCTTATAACTAAGAGGGAATTAAGTGTATTCAAGTATTGCTGTTTTTAGCGATCTCCAGTTCAGGTAGATTCTCCTCAGAAAAAAGTATTTAAGATTCCCAGTAGGGACAGAAAAACCTTCTCTAAGTCTCAATACATAAAAATGGCTCAGAAACAGATTGACCATCAACTTGAATTTCAACTATAAATACAAATTTATGAATTTCTATCGAAGTCAACTTATGCTTTCTAGGAAATATTTTGGTGTATGTACTTTTCTTACAGGTTTTTATTTTTCTCACCAACTAAAGACAAAATAAAACTACCAGAAATTGGCTTCCTACCCTAAATTGCTCTCAAAATGGTAAACAACGTATAAGCAGTTACTGAAATCAGATTGCACAAATCTGAGGTTTCTCAAATTTAGCTGGCTGAGTTGAATTTCTCTACTTCTAAAACCTAATGTTTTAGTATCTAAAACCAATTTATTTTACAAAGAGAACTGAGAAAAATGGGAAATGAAGCACATATCTTGGTAGTCAGATAGCAGCTTTTGGTGATGTGTGTTTGCTTAACTCCCACAGGATAATGTGCTTTTTGAAAGTAGGATCCTTGTTTTAATAAACCTTATGCATGCCACAGAATTTTACACATTGAACAATCAGTAAAAAGCCTTTACAATAAAAGCCTTTTATACTCACCAAGGGAAATAAGTGTTATAACAAAAACTAATAGGTATCACTTAAACATTGACTAAAATATGAATTTAAGTGGGATTCTATTGGGGCACAGGGCAGGACAGTATCACCTTTATTTCTATCAACATATTAGCACTCTTCTCCTAAAATACCAATCTTCAGCCCAAGTTTTCCCAGACTTCCATTTCATATCACTTTGGAAAACTAATATATTACACTGCTGTACAGTATCTTATGTTCAGTGATACTATCCCTCCCCTTTTGAAAGATTCTTTTAACCAAGTTACACGTGGCAATTTTCTGAAGACTAGACTTAACAGGCAGTATGTCTGAGATTAAAATCAGCCTCATGCATTCCAACTTGCTGCAGTTAACTCTCAGAAATTTTTCCCGAGTGGTATTTTGTTTTCCATGGAAGAAATAAACCATGCTTCTCATGCCTTTCAAATCTCAACTTGTGCTGGCTAAGCTGGTAGACAGTGACCACATGTGGTTACTGAGTACGTGAAATAAAGCTAGTCCAAGACTGAGGTGTGCTCTACACGTGAAATGTGAAGCAGATTTTGAAGAGTTAGCTTAGCTCCAAATGGAAAAAAATAATACAGCTCATTAAATGATAAAATTATAATCTTTCTGACCTGTTAGGTTAAATAAAATTCATCACTAAAACTCATTTCCCTGGTTTCGTGTTAGATTTTTATTGAGGTTACAGAAAAATTTAAAAATATACAAGTGACTCATAGTGTATTTCTATTTGACAGTGCTGATTACGCACAAAGAGAAATCTATCTTTGCACCTGACTTTTGATTGTCTCTTGCTATTCAGATTTGGCAGGTCTTGGAATGAAAACTAAAGAATCCTCTCAAATTACATGAAAAATATTTCCTTCATTATTTACCTTGATACTGTCAAGTATTTCTAGGTATACTGCTTCCAGTATTGGTTAACTATTCGGAATAAAATTATACTTTACCTCCCCAAACCTGATTTCTTTCTGATAGCCCAAGGTAACCTGAAAATTCAGTTGGTTTTAAATGAAAAGCTCAATGCCGCTGTCTCTCCTTTAGGTTCCTAAGAGTCTCTGGTCAAATCAGACAATCCCCAAAATAGTGAGATAAAAGTAGGCTTTCAGGGCTGGCCAAATAGCTCAGCGGATTAAACCTCCTGCTTAAGCAGACATAGGGATCCCCTGGCCTGCTGGCCCCGGCCCCGGCCCCGCCCCTGGGGCACGCTGAGACAGCAACTGACACTGGGCGTGGTGGTGCATGCTTGTAATCCCAGCACTTGGGAGGCTGTAAACAGGAAGATCATTACGAGTCAGATCTAAGCAGTGAGACCCTGTACACCCTGCCCTAAATACAAAAAAAAAGTAGGCTTTCATGTTAAACCTTTCTATCAAGTTATGTCTATACCAGAAGTGTGCAGTACTTTCTACGATAACAGAAACTTTATCTGTATTACTTGATCCAGTAGCTATTAGCTACAGGTAGCTAGTACAACTCAAATGAATTTTTAATTTTATTTAATTTTAATTTAAATGTAAATAATCATGCGGCTAGAATTTACTACACAAGATAGTACAAGTCCATACTGATACATGCTGCAACATGAAGCAACTGTATAAATAGACTACCTGTATCTATAAAGTGACTTCATGAGCTACCCAGACTCCATAGGTGGACAATAAACCATGTCCTATAACGATTTACAGAGAGGGAGCTCAAGGGTCCACTTGAGATTAAGGTGGCTAAAAGGACATTGCCATTTTGATACTGTTTACAAATCATATACAAAATCAACAAAGCATTTATGTAATAGGTGAAGAAGGAAAATACAGCCATAAGTGAATATAAATTTTGGAATTCTTTTTGTTTCACGTGATATTCTTTTACCATAATTGTATACTAGGTAAGATTGCTTAATATGCATGCTATGGCACTGTTTACTACTGAAACATTTATAAAATTGGGATTTTGCATAATGAACATTTTCTCTTCATGTCTAACTTGCTCCCTTTAATTCCAGAACCAGAGAGAAAATAAAGAGTTGTTTTTCGATTAGTGATAGTATCAATCTACACCAGCACACACAGATACAACTGGAGGCAGAATGAATGCAACACAAGTTACGTTGATGCCAATTAACATTCCTTAAACTTCTTTAGTAGCAATATTTTCTTTTTTTTTTTTTGGTCCAAATGCCTTCAGGGCAGGTTTGGCTGGCTTGAGTTGTGGGGATCGAACCATAGCAACCTGAGCCTGACTGTTTTGTTGAAGCAGCCACTTGGAGAACTGAGCTAAGGGGCAGGCCCCCAGCAATATTTTCTTCTTTCACTTTTATTTGCTGTTCTACAAATTTTACATAGACATGAAGTACTACAACATTCTAATAGGTACTAAAAAGATTTGTAAAAATTAAGTCTTAAAAGTCAACTTCCATTATTTAAACCTCAGAGGCTCAATTTCATTAAGCTGAGGGTTCCCCCCCATAATTTTATTGATAAACAAATAGCAATGAGACAGTTTCAAATCAAATTGGTAGGACAGTTCCAATAATTGACAGATTGCATACAATCTTCCTAGTGGTTAATTGCTGTACAAGATGCGGACATGATATCCTATTTACAAACACCATTAGAACAAATCCCTCTATTTGTTAAGAGAATGTAACTATATATCTATCCTAACCACTTTGAATACACAGATACAAAATGGACATTCATCTGTATACCCTTTTTTGTTAAGTTCTGTTATTTGAATATTATAGGTGTGTAAACTCAGCAAAATATTCTAAAAGAGTCCAGTAGCCCATAATAGTATTGGGTCTCCAGTTTGATTGGCAATGTCAGAAATTGTTGACCTGAGTCCCCTACAGCTCAACATAACAGCATGGCTTTACTTCTTATATTTCGTTTTTATACTTTTCTGCTGGATGGTTAAGACCAAGGTAAAGCAGGACCTATGCAACAAGAGTTGTAGCTTATTCCACTGAGCCATCTCCCCAGCTGGTGCTTCAAGCTGAGGTTTTCTTAAGGAACTGTTATCTTTCCACCAATATTTACAAACTCTTCACATCAATATTAATGATGACATTATTAATATGCATACCAGGTAGCTGTGTTTTGGACCACAATATATATATATATATATATATATATATTAAACAGTTATAGCATACAACTATGGCAAAAATGTATCAGGTAAAACTAAGGAAATTCCAAACTTTAAATTCAGTAGTGGCTCTACTTTCCTTTGTCTACTGTGTGAACGCCTGTGACATGGCAAAAATGGGGCACAGCAACTTTACGGACCCTTGAAACAAAGGACATTGGCATTGCTGCATTAGGACACTGTTTCCTACCTCAAAATCTGAAGGGTGAAACATATTTTTGATGATAACAACTCGTTCATGGCGCATTCGGGATGGTCCAGCTCTTCTCTCAGGTCTCCAATCCAGCTGCCTAATGTAATAAAATAGCAACAAGAAACTGAATTGTTTCTGACTTGTTGGAGAGAAAGTGAGTTGTTAACATAATGATGTACTATTATGAGTCCAAAACAGTAATGTACATTTTAGTCATAGTTTCACTCCCAGAATCTTCTGAAATAAAAATACTGTGTATTAGGGGGAATAAAGTCAGTATCTGAAATCCTGAGCATATTTTCTTTTTCAGAGTAACTCTTCTCATAAATATGTTGCAACAAGACTGCTACAAACTGTTGATTATGTAATATTTATGATTTTCTAAGAAGATAGTCATTCTTCTGTATCCATGGAGGATAGGTTCCAGGACCCCACTTGGATATCAAAATCTGCAAACACTCAAGTCTGTTATATAAAATGGCAAAGATTTACATATATCCTACACATCTCCCCATATACATTAAATCATTTCTAGATCAATTATAATGTTTCATATGATATACATATAATGTAAATAGCTTTACAGTGTCTTGTTTGGGAAATAATGACAATTTAGTGCAGATGTAATTTTTAGCAAATATTTTTGATCCATGGTAGCCTGTGTCTAGATGCAGAACCCACTGATATGAAAGACTCATTGTTCTTTGAGGCCCGCAAAACCTTTTAACATTGTATTAGTTTCTAGGCAACTTATCATTATAGATAACAAACTCCGCCAAAATACATAAAAATTACCCACTCTTTGTTATAATCTTAGATTTTACTACAACTGTCTATAAAATGTGTAGATGTAACTATTTTATTTATTTATTTTCATGTATTTGGTATATGGTCTCACTGTGCAGCTCAGACTCATAGTGATCCTCCTGTTTTCAGCCTCCCCAGTGCTGGGATTACAGGCATGTGCCACCACGCTCCATCTCCATGGCCAGCTCAGTGTGCTCGGGGGTGGGGCTGGTGTGGCATATAGTGCTGGAGATCAAACCCAGGTCCCTGTGCTTGACAAGCAAATACTTAACTACTGAGCTACCTCACTGGCCCACTGATATCTTATTTTAACTAATCCTCTAAAAGCTATGAAGTATCACAACTCACCACTTTTATGATCATTTTATCTTTAAGAATAATGTTAGAAGTATTATAGAATTCACTCCGATCCCACAACATACTAGAACTTTGTGCAATATCCTATCCCTAAAATGTTAGAAGTACTGCTCATATAGTTGCCACTCCACTATTTATCTTGTTTTATTTTTAGTAATTCTTTACTATCATGAAAACGTTTTCTTAGTACAATTGTTTTGAAACATTTAATCTTCTGAATATTGTTTAATATTAATTTTTGTTCCAAGATTTATACTTTGACTTACAATCTACTTAAAAGACATGGTATGATATTTTCTCCTAGTATTAGGAACTTTAAAAAAATCTATTTCCATTGACTTAATATTACTTTTTCCTTGTCTTAATATTACTCTTTCCTTGTCTACACATGAAATAAATATGTGCATAACCCAATGTAAGATTGCTACTGTTTCATAGAAATCTTCAATGACCTCTTAAATGGGTTCATCTAACATATCTTACATCGTCCCTGCATGACTCTCACTTTGAGAGCTTTTTATTCTTCATCCAGGACCACACAGCAGCTTCTCTTGCCTTCTGGATTATGCTCTTTGTTATTTCCTGTATGCTGTGTCCGGAGGTATTAGAATATTTTGAGATTGTATAACTGGAAAATATTTTACTTTTAGTTTTCAAAGGGCTATTTGCTAAGTATAAAATTCAATGAGGACAGATCTTTTTTTTTTTCTTTCAGTCCTTTAAATTAATTAGTCTAGTTTCTTACACACTTGGTCTTTTTCTTTCTAATGTGGAATAAGATGCTATTTAATTTTGTTCTTCCATAGCTAGTATTTTTTATGTACATGCTTTAATGATTTTTTTCTTTACAGTAAGTTTTGGACAATTTCATTTTTGTGTATCTTGGTATGATTTTATTCAAATTTCTTGTGCAAAAGGTTCATTTTTCTTGGAAATATGGTGCTATAATTTCAACTAAATTCAGAAATTTTAGGGCCAGGGAAATAGTGTAGTAGAATAAGCACCTGCCTGGCAAACGCAGGGTTCTGAGTTCAATACCCAGTACTGCCAAAAAAAAAAAAAATTAAGTCTTTAAATATTTATTGCCTACCCCATTCTACTTTGAGAATTATATGAATAGAAGTTTCTTGATTTTGGCAGAGTGAACTATTATATGACTTACCTGTAAATCCTTCATTTTTATTTTTGACAATTATTGTTATATTTATTTAAGTTTGTAAATAATTTATTTACAATGTGCAATCTATTGTTATTCTCATACTATGTATTCATTTCAGAAATATTTCTCTAAAATTCACTAATCTTATATCTTTCACATTTCAGT